AGGCCCCAAAATGAGTAGAAGAATGGAGATTTGGAAGAAAGGAATTAAGCTGCTATGACTGGAGCAAGAAAGAAGGAAAAAGTGAGACAAGATGAGGCTGGACAGGCAGCTACTCGAAGGACCCTAGCTTGCACCCTTGGAGCCTTGGGGAAGAGGTTCACAAGATCAGACCTCTGATTTTAAGGGATAACACTTACTGAATGAAGTGTGAAGAGCAGGCGAGGCACTGGCCAGAGCAGGCGCAAGGAAGCCAGCCAGGGGGCTGCTGTGGGGGCGCAGGTATCCAGGGGAGGCAGGAGCAGGGACTGCTTGATGGCAGCAAAGGAGGGGACTGGCTAAGGTATGAACATCACAAGACATGCTCCATTAAAGATTAACTGTTACCAGAAGTAGAAAGGAAAGGGAAGATAGTGCTTTCGCTCCAAGTTAACTTTCAGCGAGGAATACTTAACACAGCTTTTCTCCTACAGAGTGAACAATAGAGCGGTGCATTATATCATCTTGCCTCCCTCTGGCACTCACTACTTATCTCAGTACAGGGAAGCCAGTGTTCATCCCACAAGTGGCCAGTCACTGGAGGCTCCAGGAGGCAAACACAGGCTTCTCCTTGTTTGTGCTTGCGCAGTTAAATAAACCAAGTCAAAGGCAAATGACAAACTTGCAGCATATAAAACATACAAAGTATTCATATCCTTAAGGAGTATTTATAAACTAATAAAAATATGAACATTAAAATAAAAACATTATAAAGAAATTGAAGTGTGCAAACATGTATATCATCAGGATATTTGCTGTACTGCTGTTTATGACAGTGTAAACATTAGATGCAACCTAAATGTCCCACCAATAAAAGAGAGTATGGATATTTAATGGAATACTACATACATTAAAAATGGTGATGTGAACCCTGCATAGCCAAAACAATTCTGAAAACCATTAAGAAAGTTGGAAGACTCCTATTTCCTAATTTCAAAATTTACTACAAAGTTATGGTAACCAAAACAGTGTGGTAATGGCATAAAGACAGACATCTAGAATAATGGAATAGAACAGAGAGCCCAGAAATAAACTCTCACATTTATTTATTTTTTTTTAATTTCTAATGTTTATTTTTGAGAGAGACAGAGAGAGACAGACAGAACATGAGCGGGGGAGGGGCAGAGAGAGAGAGGGAGACACAGAATCCAAAGCAGGCTCCAGGCTCTGAGCTGTCAGCACAGAGTCTGACATGGGGCTCAAACTCATGAAGCATGAGATCATAACCTGAGTTGAAGTCAAACAGTTAACCAACTGAGCCACCCAGGCACCCCTAAACTCTCACATTTATGATCAAAGATTTCCAATAAGGGTGCCACGACCACTTAATGGGGGAAAGGACAGACTCTCCAACACATGGTGGTGGGACAACTGAATATCTATGTGCAAAGGAATATAGTTGGACCATTTCCTTAAAATTAACTCAAAATGGATCAAAGACATAATGAAAAGGAACAAAACCTATAAAACCTATAAAGCTCTTAGAAGAAAACACAATTTTTGAAAAGCTTCATGTCACTGGATTCAGTAATGAAGCACAGGTGGCAAAATATGAAATAAATTGACTACATCAAAATTTAAAATATTCGCACATCAAAGGACACTATCGAGAGTGAAAAAGCAACACACAATGGGAGAAAATATTTGCAGGTCATATACCTGATAAGGAATTAATATCCAGAATACATAAAAGAACTCCTCCAACTCAAAAACAAAAAAGCAAACAACCCAATTAAAAAACAGGCCAATGACACAGACAGACATTTCCCCAAAGAAGATATACAAATAGTCAATAAGTACATGAAAAGATGGTTAAAATCACTACCCATGAGGGAAACACAAATTGAAGTCACAATAAGATACCACTTCACAACTGTTAGGATGGCTATTATCAAAACCAGAGAAAATAAGTACCGGCAAGATTATGGAGAAACTGGGATCCATTCTTGGTGAGAATGTAAAACGTAGTCACTGTGGAAAACAGGATAACAGTTCCTCAAAAAAATTAAACCAATAATGACCATATAATCTGGCAAGTCCACTGTGAGGTATACAGCCAGAGACTCAGAAAGCAGGGACTCAAAGAAGTATCTGAACACAAAAGTTCATAGCAGCATTATTCACAACAACCAAATGGTAGAAATAACTCAAGTATCCTGTGACAGATGAACAAATAAACACAATGTGTGTGTGTGTGTGTGTGTGTGTGTGTGTGTGTGTGTGTGAGTGTGAATACTATTTGGCTTTAAAAACAAAGAAAATTCTTGGGGCGCCTGGGTAGCTCAGTCGGTTGAGCGTCTGACTTCGGCTCAGGTTATGATCTCACAGTCTGTGAGTTCGAGCCCTGCGTTGGGCTCTGTGCTTATAGCTCAGAGCCTGGAGCCTGCTTCAGATTCTGTGTCTCCCTCTCTCTCTGCCCCTCCCCTGCTTACACTGTCTCTGTCTCTCTCTTGAAAATAAATAAACATTAAAAACAAAGAAAATTCTGATAAATGCTATAATAGGGAGGTACTTTGAAAACATTATGCTAAGTGAAAAAGTGAGACACAAAAGGATAAATACTGTATGATTCCATTATAGGAGGTACCTCAAGTACCTAAATTCATAAAGTCGAAAGCAGAATACTGGTTACAAGAGACTAGGGAAGAGACTGATGGGGAGTTACTCTTTTTTTTTTTTTTCTTAATATGACATTTATTGTCAAATTGGTTTCCATACAACACCCAGTGCTCATCCCAAAAGGTGCCCTCCCCAATACCCATCACCCACCCTCCCCTCCCTCCCACCCGATGGGGAGTTATTCTTTAATGGGTAAAGGATTCCAGTTTGGGACGATGAAAAGTTCTGGCAATGGAAAATGGCAGTAGCTGCACAACAACGTGAATGTACTTAATGCCACTAAACTACACACTTGAAAATGGTTACAATGGTAAATTTTATGATATGTATAGTTTACCACATTAAAACAATTTTTTTAAAAATGGTCATGTAGGGGCGCCTGGGTGGCGCAGTCGGTTAAGCGTCCGACTTCAGCCAGGTCACGATCTCGCAGTCTGTGAGTTCGAGCCCCGCATCAGGCTCTGGGCTGATGGCTCAGAGCCTGGAGCCTGTTTCCGATTCTGTGTCTCCCTCTCTCTCTGCCCCTCCCCCGTTCATGCTCTGTCTCTCTCTGTCCCCCGCAAAAAAATAAATAAATAAACGTTGAAAAAGAAAATAAAAATGGTCATGTACATGTTTTAAAGAATTTCTATATTATGTTAGGTGAAAAAAATAGGTTATAAAGTTGTACAGAATGATCCCTTTTCTGTTTAAAAACAAACTTCTTAAAAATATATAAAATAAAAAAATAAAATAAAATAAAATAAAATAAAATAAAATAAAATAAAATAA